AAGACTAAAAAATAAATATTAAAATTCTCTCTCTCTCTCTCTCTCCCTCTCACTCTGTCTTTAAAAAAAATTAAAAAAGAAAAGAAAAGAAAATCCTCAGGAAGCCACTAAGAAACTATGAGAGCTAACAAGGTCAGCAAGTGTCACGTCACCAACACAACCAGTCAGGGTCTTCCAAGTGAATTTAAGCTAAATAAAGACACAGACACAGAAGTACCTTTTTTTTTGGGTTCAGTGACCGCTCCTCAGCCTCGGCTACCCAGAAGGGGGCAAGCAGGCAAAAAGAGAGTGAGGAGCATGTGCTGGACCTTTTTATTGGGGAGAAGCTATTCAAATGAGGCAAGGGGTCAGGTTTACAAAGGAATAGGTGAGTGTAAGCCAACTGCTCTGGGTGCCGCCTACTCCTAGGGCCACACCTTGTTATCCGAGCAAGGGAAGAGTCACAAGTCATGGCACTACCGCACCAGACTAAGTGGTCTTTCAGATCCCAGTGGTGCTTCAGGACTTAAAGGTGCATGCATTTGGAGTGGCTCCCCACAAGCAAGGTTGCGAGATACAAGATAAATATACAAAGTTCGATTGCACATCTATACGATTTCGATGAACAAATCAAAACTGAGATTAAGAAAACAATTCCACAAAATACTTAGGAACACATTTTAAAAAGTGCAAAACATGTTCCTTTTTTAAAAAATTGTTTAGTTATTGATGGATCTTTAATTCATTTATTTATTTATATGTGGCACTGCCTCACACATGCTAGACAAGCACTCCACCACTGAACCACAACCCCAGCCCACAAAATATATTCTTAAAACTATGACATATTGTTGAAAGATGAAGGAAGATTTAAATAAGTGGAACGGCATCCCATGTTCATGGATTGGAAGAGTGGCTACTGTTAAGATGGCAACACTCCCCATTTATTTTCATTTGCCTTCCCCTGATGCTATTTGCGTGTCAGATTCAACACAATCACCACCAAATTCTCGGATGGCTTTTTTGCAGAAATTGAGAAATTGATTCTTAAATATATATGGAATGTCAAGGAACTCAGAATAGCCAAAACAATCTTAAAGAAGAACAAATTTGGAGGATTTGGACTTCCTGGTATCCAAACCACTACAGCTGGGGCTGGCGTTGTGGCTGGGTGGCAGAGCACTTGCCTAGCACACGTGAAACGCTGGCTTCAATCCCCAGCACCACATAAAAATCAAAACAAATAAAATATAGGTTAAAAAAAAAAAAACTACTACAGCTGGATGCAATGGGGCATGCTTATAATCCTAGCAACTTTCAGGGTACATGACTCAGTGGTAAAGCACTCAGGTTCAATCCTCAGTGTCACCAAAAACATACAAACAGTATGGTCCTTGGATAAAGATAGACTTCCACATTTATGAGATCCCAGAAATAAATCCTTCAAAGGGTTGTGGCCGACCCATTTTTGACAAGCGTGCCAACACAATCACTATCAAACATGTTTTTAACATTCAATGGAAAAAAGACAGTCTTTCAACAAAGGTGCTGAGACAATTGGATATCCATGTGCACAAGAGTGAAGCTGGACCCCATCTCTCATGACGTAGAGAACTCGCTCAGAACTGATCACACTCTCAATGTAAAAGCAGAGCCTGGGAAACTGTGAGAAGAAAAAACGGCACAGGCTTTCAGTGAGATGTGAGTTTTTGATATGACACCAAAATCACAAGCAATAAAAAATAAACTAGAAAGATTGCAGATCAGCTAAACTAAAAACTTCCATGCTTTAGGAAACATCAAGAAAGTGGAAGGTCATCCAGATCGGGGGACTTATCTGTAAATCCTGTACCTGATGAGACTGCTATGTAGGATCTACAAGGAGCTCCTACTACTCAAAATATGACGACCCAATGTAAACATGGGCAAAAGATGAGGAATAGATATTTCTCCAAAAATAAGTGCAAATGAACAATAAGGATATGGAAAGATGCTCCATATCATTAGCCATTAGGGAAATGCACACGGAAGCCACCATGAGAGAGCACGTCACACCCACTGGGGTGGCATTGGTGAGGGTGTGACATCTGCAGCCCTCATACACTACTGGTACAAGGGAGAGACAGTGCAGCCACCTTTGAAAGCAGGCAGGTAGCTCTTCATAAGGTTAAACAGTTGCCATATGGCCCAGCAACTTCGCTCCTAGGTACACACCTAAAAGAAATGAAAATAAGTCCACTCGATTTCTAGTACACTGAGTTCACAGCAACATTGGCCTTCATAGCTGAAAAATTAAAATAAGCCCACATGTCCATCACTTGGCAAATGAACAAATAAGATACAGCATGTGCATGGGATGGAATACTATGCAGCAATAAAAAGGAATTAATTTGGGGGTGCTGGGGATATAGCTCAGTTGGTAGAGTGCTTGCCTAGCATGCACAAGGTCCTGGGCTCAATCCCCAGCACTATACCAAAAATAAAAAAGGAATGGATTTTTAGCACAGGGTGGAGTAAGCTGTAAAACATTAGGCTGAATCAAAGAAGCCAGGCATAGTGGTGCCCATCTGGGGTCCCAGCTTTTCAGGGGGCTGAAGCAGGAGGGTTGGAAGTTTGAGGCCAGCCTGGGCAACTTAATAAGACCCCCGTCTCAAAATGAACCGCGCGGCTGGAGATGTGGCTCAGTGACAGAGTGCTTGCCCAGCACGTGCAAGGGCCTGGGCTCCATCTCCACAGCAAGAAAAAGAAAGATCACCACAAAACAGGAACGGCAGCTGGCTGCACCACATCTTGGATGATCCCACGCTGTGAAACGCCCAGAGGGAACAGACCCATGGAGAAGAACAGTAGACTGGTGGTCGCCTAGGCCTGGGGAGGGGGGAGGCGAGAGAGGCAGTGACGGCAGGTGCGGCTGGGTGTCTTAGGGAGGTAAAAATGTTCTGAGACTGACTGGGCAATGGCCGCACGACTCTGCAGACACGAAGCCATTGAACTGTGTACTTTAAGTGGGGGAACTGTGATGCATTGGAATCAGATGCCAATTGTTGTTTTTAAAACAGGAAAGGGTGGCACAGGTCTTTGAAGGGGTGCTGTTTACCTATGGGCAAAGGTGCTGGTACTGGGTCCCTCTTCTCAGGCTCCAGAATGGGCCACGTGTGACCTGCCTACCATGTCCCTGCAGCCAGCAGATCACCTTCCAGGCTTGGGCAGACTCCCATCAGGGCTGGGCGAGACAGGTGTGATGGGCGGGTAAATTCCCGGTCCTGGCAGAGCTCCAGGCTGGAGGCCACCTGGGTTTGAGGTGGTGGAGGGGCTTGGAGAGGTGTGTGCCTGCCCCACGGACAGGGCAGGGTCCTGGGATAAGCCAGGGCTCCGACTGAGCAGGCTGCTGGGGATGTCCCTGAGCCTCTTGAGCATGTAGCACGTAGCAGAATCCAAGTGGCTCCAGTAGGTAGAATGTGACAGAGGCCCGGCTGGATTGGGCAGCCTGACTGCCTCTGGAGGGTGGCTTGGTGGCCACTGGGTGGCCGCTCTCCAGCGGGCCCTCCCTCCCCGAGGCAGCCAGCCCAGCATCACCAGTCAAAGTGACTCAGGTGCTGGGAATGTGTGGCAGAAGGGTGATGGCGCTGGAGGCCCTCAGCTAAGCTGCACTGACCTGAGCTGGACAGTGGCAGCTGAGGGTATCGGCAGACAGTAGGGGAGAGTCCACAGGAGTGCTGGCAGGAGGAGCGGGAAAACTCCAGATGAACCCCACATGATAGCCAGAGTCGCTGGACTTCAAGGGGGCTGAGGCCAGCTGAGGGGTGGCTCTTGGGCTAAAGTCAGCCCCCACCCCAGAGGAGGAGGACAGGAGAGAGTGGGCAGATGTCCTGAGGAGTGTGTCCCTGGACCCCTCAGATGACCCTGAACAGCCCATCACGCTGGCCAGCTCCCTGCTGGAGAGGGTGCAGAGCACTCTCCCAGGAAGCACAGGGTGTCTCTCCAGGAACTGTCATACATCCTCTCCCAGTAACCAGACTTGCCCCAGTGAATGACATGCTGGGTGACAACGGAGGAAAGGGGCTGCCCCCTTCCCCCCGAGTGGCAAGGCTGTCAGCACAGTCTGCCAAACCGGGAGGGGGTGCCTATGGGATCAGATTTGGAGGGTGCTCAGGGGCCCTCTTGGGTGCCATGGTACTCTGTCCCCTGCCTGGTGAATGGACAGGTGCAGCTGAGAGAAACAGAGTCCAGGGCTCAGACTCACAGTCATGAAGTAAGCCCCAAGTGGCAGCAGAGGCCAGGGCACAGACAGAGCACGGAGGAAGTGGGTGGGCGGTAGGGGATGCACTCCAGGTGATGCTTGAGGCCCTCCCTCCTGAGCCTGCCCCAGGCAGCAGGCTGGGGAGCCATGGGGGAGCTGCAGGGGGAGACCCTAAGGCAGGAGACGTGCTGCCAGACGAGGGTGCAGCTCAGTGGTAGAGCATTTGCCTACCGTGCCAAGGCCCCAGGTTCACACCCACACAACTCACTGACTGCTGGGGAGGAGACTCCGTGGACTGCCCTCGCCTGGGAGAGCTCAGGCCCTGCCTCCCTTTTTGCTGAGGCACCCCATCCACAGTGGCCCCCCCCCTGCCAGGACCAGGCTGGTTCTGCTCAGCTGGGAGGCTCCCCAGTGGCACTGCAGAGGCCTGGGGACAGCTCCAGCCCAACCTGCTTCCTCCACTTGTCACAGGCCTCACCCTCCCAACTAGCACAGTGCCCTGAACCCCCATCTTGCATCTGTCTCCTGGGGAATTCAGCTTGCAGTCTTCTCCTGAGGCCTCTGTGTGGCGACAGGCAGGAAGGTCAGAGAGGGCTTATTTATTCACTCGTCAAATATTTGGGGAGGATGGGTAACATCATGTCTGTGACATGGGTTCCCCAACTTCGTCTGCCTCCCTGTCATGCAGGGATGGTGGCATTGGTGCCCCAGTCCTCGGCTTCCTGTCTCTAAAACCTGCTCCAGAGTGGTGCTTTGGAGATCCTGAGTGTGGACTGCTCACCTTCCACTTGTGAACTCCACCGCCATTTTTCCTTTGAGCATCCAAGGTTTTTGGCCCATGAGCTTATATTTCTATTTGGAAATTAGAATGCCCGGGCTGATGATACCAGGGCAGGGAGGCAACAGGAAGACTGAAGATTTGGAATGGCGAGAACTGAGGATGGTAGGATGAGTGGCTGCTGCTCCTGGGCATCCATGACTGGCTCCGGGGAAGGGCAGGCTCCTTGTGCAGTGACCGCTGGGCAGCTCTTCCCAGGAGGGGGCTGCCTGACTTACCCTGTCACAAAAGAAGTCTCTTCCTATCTTGCAGCTGGAGTCAGGCAAAGTGGACACTTGGCTCTGAGGTGTCTGCTGAGCAGAGACGAGACTCCATCCCCAAATGGAGGAATATCCCCACTGAGATGTGAACACCCTGTCCTCAGCCACACCAGTGCTGAGAAAAGTAAAGGCTCCACCCCACACAGGGCTGGCAGGAACATGAAGGGGTGCAGCGGCCTGGCACAGCACACAGTGTTAAACAGAATCACCGCCGACCAGCAGCTATTCTCTCCGTTAGGTATCCAGGATCAAGGTAAATATATGTCCACACAAAAGCATGCACAGATGTTCACAGCAGCAATGCTCACAATAGCTAAGAAGTGGGAACGACCCAAGTGTCCCTCAGCTGGTGAACAGGTTAGCCACACCCTAGAATGGTATATCATCCAACCATAAAAAGGAATGAAGCTCTGATACATGCTATAAGACAAGGACCCTTGAAAACACTCCGGCAGGTGCTGGGTGCAGGAAGTCAGTTCCCAAAGGCCATCTATGGTAGGAGTCCACTTACATGAAACGTTCATATAGGCAAATCCATGGAGACAGCCACAATTCGCTCAGTAGAAGAGGAGCAAGGGAGGGACAGGGAGAGACTGCTAATGGCTATGAGGTTTGCAGAGATAATAAAAAGTTTCAGGGGGCTGGGGATGTGGCTCAAGCGGTAGCGTGCTTGCCTGGCATGCGTGCGGCCCGGGTTCGATCCTCAGCACCACATACAAACAAAGATGTTGTGTCCGCCGAAAACTAAAAAATAAATATTAAAATTCTCTCTCTCTCTCTCTCTCAAAAAAAAAAAAAAGTTTCAGAACTAGTGGTGGTGATGGAGTCACAATTCTGGTATTATGTGAAACATCGCTGGGTTGTATACTTTAAATGAGTGAATATTATAGACTGTCACTCCTCAATAAATGTGTTAAACGAATAGGGAATGAGGTCAGCTTCAGCCCAGCATGGAGAGTCTAGACTCCATGCTGGCCACGGCTCCCTGTTGCTGGTGAGTGCCACTTGAAAGAGTGCTGTGACCCAGCAGAACTCCCAAGGCAAGGGGGCAGCGATTGCCTGCTTAGCCAAACAAGCCCCAAGGAATGTGGCGGAGGAGTCGCCTCCCCATCTGGCCCCAGGCACACGCTGAGACAGTGTGGAGAAGCCCCGGGTTTGGGAACTTCCTCTAGGGCCAGCTGCTTCTCCCCCTGCCCAACTGCACGCTGCATCACAGCCAGTGTTTGCCTCTGTGGGTACCCATGTGCACCTTCAGCTCCTGGTGCAAAACAGTCCTTGCCACCCAGAGCCTAATCCAGACTGGTTCTCAGGTTGGTCAAAGTAGAAACAAGATTATGGTATTAACAAGTCAGACCTGCACATAAATAAAAATAGTGCTTCCAGGTGAGCGCAGGCTTTGGGAGGTCTGACCCATCTCCCTGTTGGCATGACCTTGTTCTTGGGGCAGTGGCTTTGCCCAGCAGAGGCCTTCCAGCCTCTTTCCCTGCCCACTACAAAGCCAGCAAGGAGTCTCAGGCCCAGCCTACCTGTGCTTCCTTCTGCTCCCTGTGGCTATGGTGGGAAGGTTGGTCCAGGTGGGGTGAACATCTGAAGATGCTCCCTCAGCTCCACCCCGTGCCAATTCCTGAATGACACGAGGGTACAGGCGAGGTCCCCCTCCCTGGCACGTTCCTACACTTTAGACCACTGACTCAATTTCTGTTTTACCTGTGGACTATCTATTCACATTTTTCTCCGAATCAGCTTGTGTCCGTCCCACTGGTAACAACACTCGTGAGATGAATGGTGTGCTGGTTGCTCTCTTTCAAATGTAGGTTTGAGTCACAGAATGGCTTTTTGTGGCAGTGTGCCCTTATCTGTTGCAAGACACTGGCCTGTGTCATCCCAGCAAGACTGGCAACACAATGGGGGAAGGGACCTGTCTCTATGTCTTCTACTTGTTAACGTTATACAACTTCCCCGGACCCAAGAATTGATTTTGGAATTGGGGACTTCTTCACTCTCCTCTATACACATGGTAGGTGCTAAGGAAGTGGTGGATTGTGGTTGCAGTAGAGATCTCTGAGACTGCCCCTGTGGTGCTCTGCACAGCCTGTCCCCCACATGTTGACCCCTGTCCCTCAAAGCCTTTCACAGTCATTTTTAGGATGACTAGAGTACAACTGTGAGATGCACAGGGCACCTATAATCTCCTTTTGCCAAATGGAGAAACCAAGGCTGGAAATCTGCCTGACCAGAGGTCGTAGAACCCTAGCTCATGTCTGTACATCCCTCAGCTCATGGGTCTGAGGCTTGGTGATGACCAAGTAGGTAGGTGGGTTCTCCAGACCTGCACACATGTGAAGAGCTGGCCTCATGAGGTGCTGATGGAAATAAACCATACCAATGGTCCAGCACGACCATTCCCCTTCATTGGCCTTTCCCAAGCACCCTCCAATCCTGGTGTTGGGCAGGACACATTCCTGGACCATTGCACAGTATGTATTTTTAGCTTCTGCTCTGAGGGCATGTCACTGTGGCCAGTGTCCTCAGGGAACCACCCAGCTGGAAACCTAGTAGTCTGGTGGGCACTCAGAGATCTCAGGGAACAGCACCTCCACACCCCCACCTTGTGTCTTTTTCTAAGACAGAACTAGCTCCTGTTAGTGAAGAATGCACCCCACCCTCAACACAGAGGTTTGTGGCTCAGAAACTGGGAGGCATGGAGTTAAAAATCTGTGACCATGGCAGGGGTACCTCAGCCCCACAGCAGGATAACCAGCCAGGTGGCCGAGGTGCTCACAGACCTACTCCAGCAAGTGCAGCCTTCTGTGACCAAGTGGGTGTGCCACACTGAGGGAGGCCAAGTCCAGACTTCCCAGGACTCTCTTTACCAGGCAGGGCCAAGTCTTAACTGGCTGTCTCAGTTCTCTTGAATACAACTTCCCCGGACCCAAGAATTGATTCTGGAATACACAGCTAAATCATAGCATTTAAGACTGGAACACTTTTCTACCTTCTCTTGTGCTTTCTCTGTTCTCCTTTCACCAGTCTTGACGCAGTGGGTTTCACAAAAGGCAGGAAATGGTGTGGGGTTTCAGGTGGGTGATACCAGACCAAAAGCCCACCAAGCACAAGCACTCTCAGGCCTACTTGCAACTTACTTACACATTGGGCCTGTCTCCTCCTCACATAACTAGGTAGTCACCACTCCTACCTGGTATGCTGTAAATTGTTCTCAACTTAGCAAAAGATACATTTTATGTCTGACCAAGCCCACAGGCAATGAGAATGCAATGCTTTGCGAAATAGTACTTACTTTCATTATGCAGTATGCTCTATTTTTCTCTCATTCTATTTCATTTTTATTAAACGCTGGTCACTACCCACTAATTTTTTTCCCCAGACTCAATATTGGACCCTAATCTCATGATATTCACAGTAAGGACAAAAGACCAAGTACGCATGCGGTGCACACACGTGTACAATCACTAATCAGGCTAAGGGCGATGCGAGGAGAGGACAGAGGATGGGGAGGCTGTCTACTTCATAGTTGGGGGGCTCAGCACCGGCTCTGGGCAGACGGCCCAGGCCGCGGGGCCCCGGAGGCGGGGTGTGTGTGGGGGGGCGCGAGTCAGGGTTTATTTTAAGGGCCAGACCGCAGGTTCGGCAGGAGGGGCGGCCTCCCGTGGCGCGCACCGCGAGTTCGATTTAAGGGCGAACGGACCCAAGGGCCGCCAGGCCCGGCTGCGCCTTCCTCCCCTCTCGCCGCCGTCGGAATGAGGGTCGGGGCTCACGCAACCCAGCGGAAGGGCGCCTGCGAGCCTAGATTCTGCAGGAAGGGAAGCCGAGGCCGGGGAACTAAGCCCGGCCGCCCGCCCAGCCCGTGCCCCGGGGCGGGCCCTGGAGAAGCCAAGCTCCGCCCGCCGCACGAGCCGGACGGTCCCCGGTCCGCAGCAAACAGCTGCCGGCCGTCCTCGACGCGCACGCGCATACTACCCAGCCCGCTGTGTACTGTGGCCCCAGTTGCGCGCGGGGTCAGCCGGGAGCCGGCTGCCGGGGGCGTGGGCTGCAGGAGAGGCCCGCCCCCGGCCGGCGGCACCCTGCTGCGCAGGCGCGGCGCGCGAGCCCGCCCCCACCGTGGCCGGCGGCGCGGCCATATTTAAAGGGCGGCGGGCGCGGCGAACCAATGGGCGGCCAGCGTGCGGGGGCGGCGCGTAGCGGCGCGGGGCCCCGGATGTGGCTGCGGCGTCGCTCCTCCCCCGCTTGCCTCAGAGCCTGGAGGCGCGCCCCGCTCCGCTAGCTCGCTCCCTCGCGGCCCGCAAGCCCCTTGGGCGCAGCGGGAGGCGCCCCGGCGGCGCGGAGCAGCGCAGGAGCGGGCGGCGCGGCGACCGCGCGGGGCGGAGCGGGCGGGGCCCAGCACTCGTCCCCCGCGCCCGGCGGCCGCCGCCATGAGCGGCTCCTCGGGCACCCCGTATCTGGGCAGCAAGATCAGCCTCATTTCCAAGGCGCAGATCCGCTACGAGGGCATTCTCTACACCATCGACACCGACAACTCCACCGTGGCGCTCGCCAAAGGTAGCGGCCCGCCCCGCGCGCCCAACCGCCGCCAACAGCCCCGGGCCGGCCCCGCGCCCCGGCCCCGGCCCCCCCCGCGGGGCGCCCCCCCCGCCCCCCCCCCCCCCCCCCGGCCCCCCCCCCCCCCCAGCCCGGGTTCCACCCCGGGTCGCTCCTCGCGCCCGGACCCCCGGCTCCACCCGGGACGCTTCCCGGGCCCCGCCCCCACCCTGGGGCGTCCCCCATTCCCCGGCCCGGAGCCCGGTCTCCACTCCGGGATGGCCCCCGCGCTCACCGGGGACGCCCCTTCCTCCCGGGACGCTCCCGAGGCCCTCCCCCACCCTGAACGCCCCGCGCCCGGAACCCCGTCTCCGCCCTGGGACGCCCCTCCAGGCCTCGCCAGGTTCCCGCCCCCGCACAATGGTTTTCGTGGCGCCGCCCTCTCCATGCAGCCCGTCCTGCAGGTGTTGCGGGATGGGCGGCTCCGATAGCTGTGGTTCTTCTTCACCTGTGTGGGGGGACTGTACCAGCAGGGACCAGGTGCCGAGTCTCCCAGGCCTCCCCAGAAGGCAGGGTGGGGGCGGGGTGAAAAGATGCGAACCCGCGCGTTCTCCTGGAACGCTTTATCCAGCTGGGCCCACCGGGTCCTGTGGAGCATCCGTTGGCATAGGGTGCCTGAACCGACTGATTTTACTGTGGGCCCAGTTGAGCTGTCCTTTTGTGACAGCTGTCTGTAGGTGCTGGCTGACTTGAGGGTGCTTGTTGTGACTAGAGAGGTCCAGAACCCACATGCCAGTGCTGGCAACGCGGGCCCCAGAGCCTTTGTCTTCATCCTCTAGAGGACTGGAGCGGGTTCCCCTGCCTCCTGGAGGAAAGCCAGCACGGCCAGCTCTGCAGCAGCCCGCGGTGTGCTGTGCCTGGTGTTAGGCCCTCAGGTCCTGGTGCCAAGTGCTGAGACCTGTCTGAAGCTGGCCTGGGTCAGAGGGAGCCCCATGACTCAGGGTGCAATTGTCCCAAATCCTAGACATGTCTCTTTTTGAACCCTGATGTTCAAACTTGGGCACACAGGGTAACACTGCAGGAAACAGCACGGTGTTCCAAGTCTTTTTGTTCGTTTGAGCTCTTGGTATGGTACTTATTTTGACACAAGATCCCAGTTATAGAAACTGAGGTAAGAGTAGGCCCTCCAGTAGAAGTTGCCCTCCCTATTAGATAGAGCCTGCTGCCAAGCCCAGTCTGGCCCTGGAGTCATACAGAGTAGAAGTGTGATAGGGTTCTTGGACCCTGTTGGGGATTCATGAAGCTATTGTTAGGGATCCCAGTTCTAGGTCTTTTTTCTCCTCGTTTTTATGATGTTCCCTTAGACTGGATGTATGCAGACGGGTGAGGGTGACACTCTCCTAGGTCCTCACCTTAGAAAACTGCCTTTGCAGCTGCAGAGTGTGGTGAGACCTTGAGCAAAAAACAGCTGATGGTTTCATCTGCAAAGGCAGATGTGAACCAGGGAGGTTTTGCAAAGCAGAGAGTTCTGTGTATGGATGTGTTTACACTGGAGCATATGAATCTTTGTGAGACTTTGTTTTGAAATTCTTTTTGTCAGTTACGAACAATTGTCTTTTTGGACTTTCATTGATGGGTCCCTCTTAAAAGGGATTAAGTAGCTGTTGAATTACAAATTTGGGTATTGTGTTGGGGATGGTGCTCAGGGCAGAGGCCCTTGTCTTCTGGCAGGCCCAGGAACTATATAGAGCTGTAGTGACAGAGGATTGATGAAATGGACTTGGCAAAGGGTGACAACCCTTCCTTTTTTTCATCCTTAAGTGAGATCCTTTGGTACCGAAGATCGTCCTACAGATAGGCCTGCTCCCCCAAGAGAGGAAATTTACGAGTACATCATTTTCCGGGGAAGTGACATCAAAGATATCACTGTGTGTGAACCTCCGAAAGCTCAGCACACTCTCCCTCAGGACCCTGCCATCGTTCAGGTACGTGTGTCACTGTATTTCCACATGATACCATTTCTAAAGGAGCTGGCTTCTCCTGGAATTTAGTATATGTTTGACTGAAGTGCTCAAATTGAGGAATGACTCTTTAGGAAAAAGTAGTCTCATTTTCATCTAGTGCTTGATGTTCCTATGAAAAGCATTAATTCACGCAGCATATAGTAGGTAGTGTGTTCTGTGTGGCATGACCCCTTGGGGAGGAGGCCTGTGACTCTGTGTGTGTATGTGATGTGAAGGGGTGCTACTTCTGGGGTTTGCCTGGACATAGTGTAATCAAGCCCTGAGTGGCATGGGATGCTTGTTGGGAAAACAGTGGAACCCCAAATTTGTAAGTCTTAAGCCACATTCCAGCCTTTTAGGTTGTGGCTCAGGATTACCAGGGGGCCCAGATTAATATTTACTTGTAAGTTTAAACATTTGTTGGCTCCTTTGGGATTCAGGTTGCACTGGGTTCTGAGTCGAGGGTGCACCTGGAAGGTAGGAGAAGGCAGGGTGGGCTTTGGAGGAGCTCTTCAGGCCAGGCTTCTGAAGTTTGGAGGGAGGGTCCTCACGGACTTGGAAAGAAGAATGTATGTTTGAGCCAGGCCCAAGGGGCAAAGAGGAAATAGCCAGGTGAAGGGCATGGGAAAAGGTCAGTCCTCAGACTACCACCCGTCCTCTCTGAGGCTTGGGGTTCAGAGCAAAGACAGATGTTGGGAAATGGAAGCACCTCTGCAGGGCTATGTCTGGAATTGAGGGTGGTACTTTCTCTTGTTAGAGAGGCTAGATTCCACCAGTGACAGAGGGGAGTTGTCGGAGGGTTTTAATTAAGTTAGGAGAAATTCATGATAGTGTTACGTGGACAGGTGCAACTGGTTGGAAAAAGGCAGCTTTGACCATACTAAAAACTCCCTCAGGACCACTCAGCATGTCAGCAGTACAGGTGACAGAACTGGCGCTTCCCTTCTGAGCAGGTGCTCTGAGCAGACTTGCAGGGTATCAGGATGGCCTTGCACCTCTCTTACCGGTGTGTCTCATTGTTCAGTCTTCTCTGGGCTCTGCCTCCGCCTCGCCCTTCCAGCCGCATGTGCCTTACAGCCCCTTCAGAGGGATGCCGCCCTACGGCCAGCTGGCAGCCAGCTCCCTGCTCAGCCAGCAGTATGCTGCGTCCTTAGGTCTAGGTAAGTAACAGTTTCTGTCTCCTGAACTACCCTGCTTATGACCACCAGGAAGTACAGTGACAGGTCTAAGGGTGGGGCGTGTCCTCTTGTCATGTTCAGCTCCTAGACTACTTATTGTAGCACATGCTGGGTGGGTCTCCCCTGTGCAACTTCTGCTCTCCAGTATCTGGTAGCTGTCCAGCTGAGTGAGAGTGGGCATTGTGGGTCTTGGACTCAATGGACCAGGTCAGAATTGATCTGGAACATCAGCCTGGGTCTGCGTGGAAGTCCTGGTACACCTGCCTGGAAGGAGGAGTGCTGACATGTGTACTTATGTAGGACTTCTAGATGTTTGCACATCTGTGAGCCTGTAAATATAATATCCTATTTTCCTGTTAAATCTTTTTGTTATTCTACCATAAGGGTCCTGCTCAAAATGGTTTTAACCAAGGTTGACTAGTCCCAGAGTAAAGAGTCTGTTTTCCATGTTGAGAGTGAGCGTGGTCTTGTCCTTGTCCTTGGCCTGGCTCTAGCTCTGCAGCTGTGTTCAGAACATGGCACTGGCAGTCTTTGCTTGGACCCCAGTGTGAGGCAGGGAGCATTAATTAGACCCAGATCAATTCTGTGGGTTACTTGTTTGTCTTGATTGCTGTTCCTCATGTGACAGGTGATTTCTCAGCCCAGCTTACTGTTTCTAAAATGTGTGTGTATGAGCAAAGTGTCCTATGAGAGTCTGCTTGCTCTTCCCAAGTTTGCTAGACACAAGATAAGTATGTCCTGACTTATTTGTGTGCTTTCTCTTTGCTCTTTTCTCCTTTCTCTTCCTTTAGAGAAGTTGGTAAGCCCTCCAGCCTCAGCCGCTGCTTCCAGCCCTAGTTCTTCTCCATCTCCACAGCCTGTTTCAGAGCTTGACATGTCCTCAGAGCCACCTCAGCTCACTTCCAAGGGTAACAGCAGTTTGGAGAACTAACTGCATGCTGTCTTGCAGACCATTCTGAGTCCCAAGGGGGTAAAATGAGAGCCAGAATGACAGGAGCCGTAGATCGTTTGCTAGGCCTAGGGAGCAGTGATACTGCTTCTGTTTTGTTCAGCCCAAAATGTGGTTCATAACTACCAGTTTTATAGCTTTTTTTTTTTTTTCTTTTGGTGCTGGGAATTGAACCAGAGGCACACCACTGAGCCATCTCCACAGCCCTTTTTATTTTTTATTTTTAGATAGGGAGCCCTTGGTTCACACTGCCTGGGTCTAGAGTTTGTTTTGACCTGCCCCAACCATCATGCTTGGGAAACTTCCTTTGAATACAAAGCTGTTTCCTTGGGGGTTTGCTGGGACCTAATTATGTTCTAGACTGCTGCAGCGGAGTTCCCCAGCCACTCCACAAACACAAGTCATCCTTTAGCGTGTTCAGGATGGGAGCTCAGTGATGATCAGCTCTATGGCCAGCTGCTGGGTATTGTCCTGAAGGCCACCTTGTCAATCTAGTGTCCACCTGTCTGCTAAGACAGCAATGCCTATGGCATTTTTAGAGTTTCCTGATGTTCTCAACTTACCTCAAGTTCTGAACTTCACTTTCACTGTTTTCTTACACATCTGTTTTACCTATGCTTCATGTGCATTGCCACAGGCTCAAGCCTTTACCATCATCCATACTTGGTCCAAGAAACTGTCTATGCTCTTGTTTGGCCACACAAGCACTGTCAGTCTGTTAGATATGTTTCTTTTAAGTTCTGCGTATGTCTGAGAGCAGTATATTTTTTCCACTTAAACACTTTGTACTCTGATTTTTCTCAGGAATATTTACATAAAACTACCCAAAGGGCAGATAGATTGTTTTAACTGGTTCAATTTTCTAAAAGGCAAATATATATGCCCAAAGTTCTTGCCCTATCCATTCCCGTGTGATAAGCCAGTGAAAGTGGTCCAGATTAGTTCTTGTCAGAGAGGACCTTTCCGATGCCTGCCCTGTGAGGGCTACTCTTGATTTGGCTACAAGAACTTTTCTACACTGATTTCCATAACATCGGTCCAGTATACAAAGTTAGGGTATATCCCTTCTTCATCTGTGTTGGGCTGCCCCCCTGACAGTGGTTACCCTGTGGTTAGGACTTATTTTTCTGTCTCATCTTTGACCACTTCCACTCAGTCCCCAGGTGCTCTCTTTAACACTTCCCACAGATCTGGAACCTGGGAGAGGAGTGGGAAGAGGCAGTCTGGGCAGGTGGCCTTTTGCACACCCTCTACCAGGTTCAGATGACATCCCCTGCATCAGGACCACCACTGAGGCTTGGTTTTGAGATGTATCTCAGGCAGTACTCTAAGAATAGCCCTTACTGAGGTCACCAGGGAGCCCTTCTTGTTTTATGAGGAGCCTATACTCTTGTGAAGCTGCAGTCTGACAACTGTGGTCAGTTCTTCCCTCTTCATCCTATTTTTTTATTACCTTGTAAGCAAAAATGATAGTGTTCTAGAATTTAACTTTGAAGTTTGACCACTGCACTTGCTAGAAGACCCCAGGCTGGGCTGGTTCTACTCTGGTGTGGACTGGAAAGAAACAGATTGTTGAATCCTGAAATTCATCATCTCAGGGCTATTTGAGCCCCTTTGGGGTTAGAGCTTGTGTGGTTCTAGAAAGCTGTTCTTTAGGGAGCGGCCCAGTCTGGGGAAGCTTGGCCTGGGCTTGGACCCCTCTCTGGGCACTTGCCCTCTCCTGCCTGATTGTCAGCCAGAAAAGAAGTGACTGGAGGTGTAAGGCTTTTCTTCTCTGTTTGTAAACCCTCTTCCCCTCCTCAATTCAGGAGCTGGCTTTCCTTCTGCCCCTGTTGGCAAGAGCCCCATGGTGGAACAGGCTGTCCAGACTGGCTCTGTCGATAACCTGAATGCCAAGAAGCTGTTACCTGGCAAGGGCACCACAGGGACGCAACTCAACGGTCGCCAGGCCCAGCCAAGCAGCAAGACCACTGGCGGTACTTGAGTTCTTCCTCCCCTGCAGTTTGCTGTGTTCACAGTGGCACACTACTTTCTTGGTTATTTTTTAAAGCATTAAACTTCTCTCCTATTCTAAGCCCCACATGCTTTTGGACAAGCCCATATGGCAGACTTCCTTCCATGGGGCCCCAGGCAGTGGTGGTGCCCTGCTTTGGTGGCTGGGTTCTGGCTTCTGCAGGAGCTTTGCCTTACTCTTCCCTTTGCGCCTCAGATGTAGTCCCACCGGCAGCTGTGCACACTCAAGGGCAGGTGAATGACGAGAACCGAAGACCTCAAAGGAGGCGGTCAGGTAACACCTGTGGCCACCCAAGTTTGGGAGCCATGAGCAACAGGCCACGTTTTGCTTGTCCTCGTGGATGCTGCCCCTCTTGTCTGCTTGTGCTTGGAAGCTGCGTTTGAAGTCCTGCTGGAAACATTGGGTTGGTGGTTTACTTCAGCCATTGCTGTCCTTCTTCCTTGTAGGCAACCGGCGAACAAGAAATCGCTCTAGGGGGCAAAACCGTCCAAGTAATGTCAAAGAGAACACGATCAAGTTTGAAGGTGACTTCGATTTTGAGAGTGCAAATGCTCAGTTCAACCGAGAGGAGCTTGACAAAGAATTCAAGAAGAAGCTGAATTTTAAAGGTCTGATTTGCATAAAAGTTACTACTCCCTGGACATATCCCTAGAGTGTGCTATGAAAAGATGACTGAGGTGATCTGGGAAGCCAGCTGGGGTGCTGACCAGTCTGGAAACTGGAATTAACAAAGAATTAATGAGATAAGGAAGTGTTTGGGGGTGGGAGGGGGAGACAGTTGTTCTGACTGTTGGTAGAAAGAGGTCTCTGCTTAGCATGACACGGACACATGGTGTGGGCTGCTGAATGGACTCCTGGAGAGAGACCTCCTTGGAGAGGGGGTTGTGGTGTTTGCTTCTGCACCTTTGTGTGCTCTACTTCTCTTTTTAGAGGACAAAGCTGAGAAGGGGGAAGAGAAGGACCCAGCCGTGGTGACTCAGAGTGATGAAACTCCTGCTGAAGAAGACCTCCTGGGGCCCAACTGCTACTACGATAAATCCAAGTCATTCTTCGACAACATCTCCTCTGAACTCAAGACCAGGTGAGGCCTCCGTGGACTGGTAGAGAAGGTCGTCACTGCGTGCATGTCTCAGAAGCACAGACTTGGCAGTCTCCACCTGAAGACCTAACCTACAGCCTTGAATTCAGGGCACATGCCCTAGGAGCTTGCATTTCTGTGTAATAGATGCTAGAGTCCCCAGTTGTCTCTCTCAGCCATCCAGGATGTGGTGCAGGAAATTCTGGCAATCATCCAGCCACAGGGGAACTCACTGAGGTCAGGCCCCTGGTCACTAGGTTTCCTGTCTACATTCAGTGCTCTTGCTGGGCTGCTTGCTGGTCTCAGTGGCCTGGCTAGTGTTCTGACTGTGATGTTCTTTCCCTTGGTGTTGGCCACCAGTGACCATGTTTCACGTGTGTGATCGTCTTTAGTGCCTTGGGTGAATGTTCTGGACTATGTGGGCAATCTGTAGAGTAGGCATGGTGTGGAAACCCAGATCCATGTGTCCTACAGGTTGAGCGCCAGGAATGTTCCTAGGCATTCAAGAGTGGCAGCAGGCAAAATTGAGTGGCATTGGCACATGCTCACACTCCACTGGGGGAGCATGCAAGTGGAGATGCACAAAACATGAACAGAGGACACGTAGGAGCCCAGCAGTGGAGGGTGGGCAGGGCTGGGTCGGAGGGTAGCCACAGGGGTGAGTGAAGGTCTATGTGTCTCTGTGGGGCTGGGTTGGAGGGTGTTGTAGGAGTTCAAGTAGGGTGTTACAGGTCACAGTAATGATGTTGGCTTTGTTATGATCCTGTGGGCAACCTTCCAGGAGTGACATGCGACAATATAGCATGTTGATGAGAGTGGCCCAGAGTGGGCCACTATGAGGCTGGGTGGACAAGGTGGCTGGCTCAGCAGGAGTGCAGGTTCTTGGAATACTGGGCTGTATGTGGTGGGAAGGCTGGACACAGTGTGTTTTGAGGATGGCACTTACAGGGTGTGGGGAGTCCAGAATGAGTCCCACATGTCTTGGCCTGGGTACACAAAGAACAGTGTCATTTTCAACCAAGAAGCCTGTGGATGCAGCAGGCTTCTAGACTGAAGGACAGGAACTGGCTGGCTGTCTGCCAACATTTTGGCTGCACTGGGCACACGGTTGTACATGGGAGTTGTGCCCCCAAATGTTTGGGCAGCATGGTGTGTGAGAGCTGTGATGCCATCTGCTATCACCCCCAGAAGCACATGTACCATTCTTGCTCCATCCAGCCCTGCCCCTCTCCACCCATATCCTTCTAGTAGAAACCTGAGTCTGGAGGAGTCTGTATCCTGTTCTGGTCTGAGGTCTGCATGGGGCCTGGGCGCCCAAGCTTCTCTCCCTGCCCAGCAATCAGTGGAGAGAAGGCTTCCTTTGTCACCCACTGGTGGCAACCTGCTTAGCCTTGTTGATGAAAGGTAGGTCTTGAGCAGTCCAGTGCTCAGGAAGATGGCTGCAGTGGTCTTCATCTCTAGGCCTAACCTGTTCCCTCCACCTCTGTAATGGCTCCAACAACGGTTTGTGGTTCTTCCCTGGGCTATTACGAGGATGGAGCTTGAGTTGTTAACTGCTGTCATCAGGATTCCACACACTTTATCTCTGGTCCAGTTCCAGGCGTACAACATGGGCTGAAGAGAGGAAGCTCAACACGGAGACCTTTGGCGTGTCAGGGAGGTTCCTCCGCGGTCGTAGTTCCCGTGGTGGGTTCCGTGGAGGAAGGGGCAACGGGACAACCCGGCGCAACCCGACTTCCCACAGAGCTGGGACTGGCAGGGTGTGAAGATGCAGCCTGAGTGAGTGTGGGAACCTTCTGGATCCTTGGGTGGGAGGCTCTGGGACGGGTGTACCTAGCCAGAGCAGAGGTGCTAGAGGGTAGGTGGGCTTTCTATCTTCACACAAGAAGAGCATCCTGAAGGTGTCAGGCCCAACTGACGGCCTCAGCCCTCAGCGTCACCCAGGGTCTCCTAGAAACAGCGAGAGTCAGGTAGGACCCAGGTTGCTGCCCACTTCATCCAGCTGAGATCATGGGTGTGGGAGGACAAGGACCATGGTGGAGTCTAGTGAGGGCTCTGTGCTTGCTGCTGGGCTCCGGCATAGTGGCCTAGTCCAGCCTAGCCCTGCATGGAGTCAGAGCCTGTTAGCGAGGCCCCAGGGATCGTGTGCACTCCTGGGTCTGGGTAGTGTCCCTGTATGGTGACTGGTACTGACCCACCCCAACCAGGTGGCATTTGGAGGAACCAGGGCTTCCTGCCACTCACTGTCTCCCGTTCCTCAGTGTGCTACTTGGAGGGGGCCCTGATAGGAGAGTGGGCGGTCCAAGGGAGGGAAGAGGGGTTGAGTGGCCCTTGTTACTGGTCAGGCAGCAGTCCCTGCTGATACTGAGCAGCCATGTAACAGTTGGTGTGGATGTGCTCATTTTCTGACCTCTTTTGCAGGCTCCTGCTGAAGAGCACAGAAGTGACGCTGTGTACATAAGGATACCACAGAAATGCTCTGCACTTAACAGGGAAGGAGTGGGTCCCATTTACTGAGTTGGAAAATTCCCATACTGCTACTTATGTTTTGGACTTAACTGAACTTAGACGTGGTCTGAGTTAAAACCACTTGTTTTTTGGGAAGTATTCATGGGTAACCTCTTTGAGGTATCTTGACCTACGTTTCCTTTTTGGTTGCGCATAGCCTAATTCTAAGGTTTTGGCATTTTCTATAGCGAAGGTTTGATCCTCACTTTGTGACTTTTCTTTTTTTATGACAGCTTTGACTTTTAAAGTGGAACCAAATCTCATTTGGCACATGTGGCCAAGTGCATTTCTGTAACCCATCTAGCCCCTGGTGCTGCTGGCCTGGCACCCCACCCCCCCACCGTCATTGGTAGGGTCTCAGGAGCCTGGCAGGGCCAGCACAGGGTGGGCCGGACATATGCGTGGGTGGGGCAAAGGCAGGGAAAGGGATATCCCATGAATCATGTTGTGTAACAAACCGAGTGATGTTGTTAGGGTTGGGGGCTGGCAGAGGGTGGTGGACTTGGTGGTACTGGGAAGGGACCCTGAACGTTACCTATGCAGAGCCTGGCTTCCACGGGCACTGAGGCTAAGGGTTGAAACCCTGAACCACCCCATACAATGTTCCCCTGGCTCTCCTGTCCTGTCCTTACCAGCCTCTGACCCAGGTCAGTGTTGGACTCTTGTCCTCATCCACTTGGAAATGAGCCAGTCTTTTTTTGCAAGGTCAGTTGACCTTTTTTCCTCTGGATTGTAAATAGTTCTTGTGTGTTTGTTTTAAAGGTGGGTGGAGGGAGGGTGGGGAATATAAATTTGTTGCATGAGTAAGATGGGTCAGACCTCCAGTGTAAGCATGCATCCTTCTGATTGACAGGGCATTTTGTTGAAAATAAGCACCTTGGTAACTAAACCCCTTTAAATAGCTATGAAGGCTTTAGTTCTGTATTAAGTCATTGTAAATGCTTGGGTTTATTTTTGTAGGACTTCATGGCTGAGAAGTAGAACATAGCATTGCCACTGCTTTGTTGGGGAAATGTAAATTGTAATTATAAATAAATATGCAAACCCTTAAAACTTTTTTTCTGTGCTGCCTAACAACGTCTGCAGCATATCCAGGGCCCACCTACCCAGAGGCAGGTGCTATTCAGCCCTAGAGTACACTTGGGGTGGTAGGATTTGGGGGAATTGGTTCCATATAGAGCCTGAGGAAGGAGAGACCCTACTGAAGTGCAGTGAGATAGGCCTGGATCCTCTTGTTGGCGGCCTTTCTGGGATGAGTGGCCCTGCTGTCTAGAATCTGCATACACACTAGTTTAGGCTAAAAGCAGTCTATTTACTTCAGTATGAGTTTCCAGGTGACTTTAAAAGCAGTGCTCAGAGGACCAGAAGGGACAGCTGAATTTGGCTTTCCCTTATGGTACCTGCCTATCCTCCACTTAGGCTCTAGAGCAGGAACTGGCAGCAGGCAGCCTTCTGTTTTGGTGGTGGCAGTGGAGGGAAGTAACCCAATGACCAGTTCTTTTCAGTGTGTATGGTAGATGCCAGGGGCCACAGCCCTCATTCTGACCTGTGCAGCTCAGCAGCTGGACTGTGCTGCTGGTGGATGTAAAGGCTGCTTACCACCTGAAGTAGCCTTGCTGTTAATCCAGTTGACCAGTCATTTTGACAATTACACATTTTTATGCTGAGCTTAAAAGTGACCTCCTGAGTCTGTGTTTTAGAGGATAGCATATACTGCAAGCCAGAGAGGGCAGCTGGGGGCTGAGGGAGGCAGCAGCACGCGCCTGGAGCAGCCCAGGACCCAAAGGCCAAGAGGGGTTCTTTCTGGCTAAAATGTGAGAGAGGGGAACAGCTAGGTAGAAAACGGGGGACAAACAAATCCATTAAAAGCTGAAAGAAAAAACTAATTTTGAATATAGCAACTCATTGCCTGGAAGGAAATGGAAAATTGTATTGAACCCCCAGAGGCGAACCCTGGCTTGTTGGGAGCCCGGCAACAAGGGACAGAAAAGAAAAAGAAAGTGCATAAAAAGCAAGTACACAGATTCCCAAAACAAGGGGGAAAGACCCCATCTTCTTAAAGAGCTAGTATGATCACACCTAAAAAGATCCATGCTCTCTCCACAAGCAAAGGCTAAAAAATACGGAAGTTTATTGGGTACTCTTGACATCCCAGACAGGTGGATGAATGGAAACGCCCACAGAGACTCATCAATGACCAAGTTTAAAAGCTGTTCTAAGCAAGAGAGATTTCTTCATCACGATGCTTTCTTTTGTTTCTTCTTTTCATTTTCTTCTTTTTCTTTTTCAATTTCAGCAACGTATTTCTCAATTTCTTCAGGATTGAGAATCTACAACATAGAATTTTTTAAAACTTCAGAAACATGTTTAACCCCCAGGTTGCACAAGGTACAAAACACTAGTTCGTTCGGGCAGTGCAGCCTGGTTTGTGCTGCAGCCATTCCACAGCCCCTTTGGAGAAGGGCTTCAAGGAACTAGGGTGACATTTGCCTGAGGTGTTAAAAACAAAAGTTGCACTTGGCAGCCTCGGTGCACCAAGAGAACACATGAACACCATTGGGAACCATGGAAGCAAGTGGAAAAGTGTCTAGACTGTGGAGCCTTGGACATTGGAGCAGCTGAAGCCACAGCATGATGGCCTCAGGAGGAAGTGACCCTCCAGAAGGAAACACCACGGGGTCTTTCTATGATGTTACACAGGAGAGGGTCTGAACCGTGGCTCTCCAGATTCCAACTCAGACCACATGGTTGAGAAAACATCAAATCAAGATGACGACTTGAGGATTACCTTAAGGGGCTGATCTCTCCTCATGACAGCAAGTTCAATGTTTTTGCCACCTGATTGGACCACCTTGAAGGGAAAGACAGGAATGTTAAGACACCTCTGTCGTCAAGAACACAGTGGCAATCCTGGCAGCCCTCCTTGGACAGGCAGCAGTGGCTACTGGAAAGCGCAATGCCCGACTCCGGGCCTGGCTTTGCCTGTTTGTACTTCAAAGTCTTGATGGAGCCTGTGAGTTCTTGATAGATCCCTAGCCCCTAGCTCTGGATCTCTTAATTTCCCAACTTAGCAACCCAAGCCTCTGGGAGGCCAAGTGACATCTGTAGTACAGAGTCCACAGTCCGATGACTGGGCTTCTGTCTTCCTGCTTCTCATGCTGTGTTCCTGGGTGAGCCATGACTACCCCTGCTATATGAAGAAGCAGATGATGGCACTTTCTTTCCCAGGGCTCTGTGGTGCATGGCAGCTGAACAACTCCCAACCATCCAGCACTGCCATGGGCTTTTGTCACACATGCTCCTTCTCCATCTTGCCCAGACACACTTACTTCCAGGAGGGCCTTGATCACCAGCTTGATGGTCAGATCATCTGTCTCGATGGCCTCATCGGTATAGTTCTTCTCCAGGAACTCACGCACTGACTTGGCACCCCGGCCTATGGCATTGGCCTGAAACAGACAAGTGTGGGCTCACAAGGCACAACCCTGTCTTCTGCTCCAGCTGTGCTATTTGCTCTGTAGCAGCGCATGAGGTGACAGCCCTAGACTTGGGGCCTCCCTAATAGCTGTGTGTGCACATGCACACACACAGGATTTAGAATTGGTGCTAATTTTTAAAAAAATATTTAAGTTATAGTTCAACACAATACCGTTATTATTTTTATGTGGGACTGAGGATCGAACCCAGCCCCCAACACGTGATAGGTGAGCGCTCTATTGCTGAGCCACAACCCCGGATTGGTGCTAATTCTTATTACAATAAGGGATTATACTTTTAATTATTAAGAGAAACTGGTGGGCTGGGGATGTGGCTCAAGTGGTAGTGTGCTCGCCTGGCATGTGTGCGGCCCGGGTTCGATCCTCAGCACCACATACAAACAAAGATGTTGTGTCCGCCAAGAACTAAAAAATAAAAAAAAAAAAAAAAAAAACTGGTAATGTTATGAATGGGATTATATTCCATTTTATTATTGAGATACTGGGAAGTTTAAATTTATGCCACACGTCCTTGAATCTTGGTGTTCCTTTGTTATTGAGTGAACTTTTTACTTTCATTCACATCAGTAACATTTCATGAAACAGATTGTTCACTTAGGACTAAGGTAACTTACACTGCTGCTTGTTCACTGGCAAGAGGCCCAGTACCTCCCCAAGGACTTTAATCCCTCCCTTTACTTTGTCCTGGACTCACCTTCCAGGCATGGTATGTGCCCGAGGGGTCAGTCTGATAGAGTCTGGGGGTGCCATCAAAGTCGAAACCCACAATGAGGGCAGAGATGCCGAACGGCCTGCGCCCATTGCTCTGTGTATAACGCTGGCAGGGAAAGAAGTCAGTGCTGTCAACCATGAGAAAATTCATGTGACATCCAAAACAACTGTGCTTAGTGTAAGGATTAAATGTTCATCATTAAGCCCACCTCCAGGTTATCTGCCATTCAACTAATAAACGAAATTAGCTAATAGCTTTCAACATCTTTCTGCATTTTCATTCTTAGACTCACCCAGGACTGGAACTACATTATGGAATAAAACTGAGGCTGCTGGAAATTATCTCTTTGAGGGGCAGACTAGCACTCTTGCCACATGCTAGTTTTCAGATGAATGGCATCTGAGAACCAGAGTTGGTGAGCTTCCAGCCCCCTTCCAACTGCTTGGTAACTGGTGGTTCAAAAGGGCAAGATGAACACGATTATTTCTCTCCAGAAACATGAATCCAGACTGCCTCCAGCAGAAAGGGACAACAGAACAGTGCCGCCCAATGGGAGAGGCCTTAAGTCACACACACACACACACACACGCACACACGCGCGCGCGCGCGCAGACTTAGCCGAGGCCAGGAACCGAAGAAGACGTCCGCGTGAGGTAACACCACACAGGACACTCCAGGACAGTGCCTGCTGCATCACAAGGAGGGCAGCACTCACCTGCTTCAGGCTGGCAATGTAGCGGGTGATGTACTCCACGGTGACAGGGTCCTCCACAGTCAGCCGGTGGCTCTGGCACTCCACTCGGGCCCTGTTGATGACTATCCGTGCATCGGCAGTGAGGCCTGCAATGGAGGCAGAGGAGCTGCTGCTGCAGGTGCCACTCACTGTTCCACCCAGGTAAGAATTACATAAGCAGACGAGTTCCAAAAGCTGCCCTCTGAAACCCAGCACAGCATTTCTGAGTGATGGACAGTGGAACTAATCAGCCCTCAGAAACTTCTGAGAAAGTGGAACACATGAGAAGTTGTGTGGGCTGGCCACGGTGGCGCACACCTACGATCCCAGCAGCTTGGGAAGCTGAGGCAGGAAGATCTCAAGTTCAAAGTCAGCTCAGCAACTTAGAGAAATCTTATCTCAAAAAATATAAAACGGGCTGAGAATGTTACCAGTGGTTAAGCACTCCTGGATTTGATCCCTGGAATACCCTTCCACCGAAAAAAAAAAAAAAAAAACAGAGTGCATCAGATCCTATTTAAACATACTAGGGCTGGGGATGTAGCTCAGTGAGAGCACTTGTCTAGCATGCTCAAAGCCCAGGGCTCACGCCTCAGTACTGAAAAACAAAAAACACATCTTCCTAGATTGGATCTTCTAAGGGAGGGCAGGATCAAGGCCATGGCAATGCACTGCTGGTGTTCCACAAATGCCACCCATTAGTTGGCTGGTGATGGCAAAGCACTGTCCTCCGTGCCACAGGTACAGGGTGATTACACCCTGATAACTGACCAAGGAAGGTAACTGGAGGTGAAGCAGCACAGCAGCCCTATCTGGGCAGCAAGACACATTTGGCCATTTGTGCCCACCCCAGCAGAGGGTCCCAAGAAACCTGGTTTACATGTCTCCCAACTGCCCCTCTCCCCAACTAGTCCCCAAAGCTCTGCTGCACACCGTGACTCCAGAGAAGGCCCTGGCAGGGCTCATACCTGCAAAGGCCATGCAGACATTGTCGTCCAAAGCACAGATCTTGCGCACTGTTCTTTCATCTTGTAGTTTGGCCACTGATTTCTTTTCCACACCAAGAACAACAATGTCCCTTCCTCGAACACCAACCTTTAATAAAAATCCACAAGCCACATGAGAATCCTACTGGGCACAGAACATGAGAGCTCATATTAATGTGGGCCCTGGAAAGACTGGAGGCAAGAACCCCACAGGAAGGTGTGTGTCCACACCTCTTTCTCTCCTTGTCTGTCACAGGGCACCTAGCCCTGCAAACTAGGAGTTAATGACCCACTCCTGGTGGAGCTAGTGCAGGTTCCAGGATCCAGGTGTGCAACCTGGGCCTTTTAGATACTGATGTGGTGTTCTAGGCTAGCCAGTAGTTTGTGAATAGTGTAGCTAGCCAGTAATATGTGAATGCTTCATTTCAGTCCAAGGATTAGTCCTTCCAAACCTCAAAGCCAGGGACAAACTCCTGGTTTGCAACAACTACCTACTGAAAAGTCAACATCACCCTGTTTTTGGCAGGCACAGCAGAGAGGAGGATGTGGATTACAAAGGGGAAATCACCTGAAGTTGACCCTTGAATCTAGACAAGTGCAGGAACATTGGGACCAACAAAGCCTGCCTGCTATAGAGGGCCCTGCAGCAGGTGGGATTGTACAGTGCTGTGGCCAGTGGAGTAGCATCCCTGGCCTTGGCTTCCAGGTGCTAGGGGCACCTCAGCAAGGTCTTGGCCAGTCCATCTGGCCCCCAGCCTGGAGTGTGTTTCAGTTTGCCCTGTGATTCCTCAAATGTCCTTTAGCGTCAAGCAGCGAACAAGAGAAGCTTGCAAGCTGCAGCTGGCCACGCAGAGCAGGCACTGGGAGTCCCTGGTGGGCATTAGCCTGTTCCTCTGCCACAGCCCTTTGGACTGTTAGGTCACCAGACATACCTGAAGCTTTAATTTCAAAATGGTTAAAGACTCGGGAGATGGAAACACTTAAAATTCAGAACCGTGTGTCCGCTCAACCTCTAAAAGACCAGGTAACAAGAAAAATCGTCCCTACGGTTTGCCAGTAACATTGGCAGGTGTCCCAAAGAGTCATAATTTGACGTTTCCTATAGTGACGAACAGTTGAGTCCCTGAACAAGAACACTGGCGAGGCGAGAGCGCCACGCTGGGACCAGAACTCGGCGTGACAGAGTGCGCCTTCCGCGGCGCAGCTGGACCCGGAAGCGGCCTGGTACCAGCGCAGGCCGCCGAGCCTCCTTTTGTTCTGGACGCCCACCTGGGTCTCGCCGGGGCGGTCCCCGCCACAGCTGGCTGCGGGAACGCCGCCAGCCCTCCTGCCGCCTGCGCACCCGGGGCCTCAGCTCCCGGCGCCTCAAGATGGCCCCAGCCCGGCGCGCGGCCCGGCAGCCCGCGTTGCGGCGCCCGGCGGAGGCCACCGCCGAGGCTACAGAACGGCCCAAAGCGCGGCCGCCGCCCAAGCGTCACCAGCTCTCCACGGCATGGGCGCGTACCCGCGGCTCTGCTCCGCTCCTGGTCGCCAGCCTCGCCGCCCGTGCCCTGTCTGCAGGCCCGCCGCCCCAGACGCGCTGCTGCCCGCCTCCAAGGAGGCGCTCGGCCCGCCGCGCCCCGGCCCCGTGCTCACCGCAGTCGAGCCCTTCTTGACGGCCTCCTGCGCGTATTCCACTTGGAAGAGGTGGCCGTCGGGCGAGAAGACGGTGATGGCGCGGTCGTAGCTCATGCCGGCGGGGCGCGGAGCTCTCGCCGCCGCTCAAAAGCGCACACTCACG